TTTTGTACTGCATATTTTTAAACATATTTCAAGGACTTTTATTTTTCATGCGCAAGATTTTCATGTGCAACTTTTTAATGCGCAGAAAACCGGTTCCCATGAAGATGAGGGTACAATAATAGTTAAACTGTTTACAGTTAGCCAAGTGTCCATGGAACAACAATCAAGATTAATTTTTGTAATGGTGGCATATGTCTACTCCTTACCTGGTGAGTGATGCAGCTTCTACAAGCACAGTCTTGAATGACTCATTATACGCCGTAGCACCCTTTCTTCGTCCATTTTGTAGTACATCATTGCAGAGGTACATCAGATTCAGCTTTTCTGGAGGCTTAGCTGTAAACAGATAAAAATGTCATTGGAAAATAAAATACACACTCAGTCTTTTACATCAAGAAAGTACATGTAAACTAGATACCCATGATCCAACATGTTTTGCCCATTGAAAATTGGCATTAGTCAGAGAATCTATGGAAAAAATCAAATATTTATCAAAAATGAAAGGCAACATTGTCCATAGGCAATTGAATTAGTAGGACCTTTTGAATCTATGAATGATTTATTTTGTTCTAAAATTAGTAAAAAGGTTTATTACATGCTGACAGAAATGAACTGTTTCACATAGAAGCATCAACTTAACATTGAATATTTCACATTGATAAACATTTGAATAAGGGTTTTTGCATACAATCTTATGAAACAAAAGGCTGCATTTCAACAGAACATAATAATTCAATATCAAAAACAAATGCATATCTATATACAAAGCTGAAAGGTACATTGGGATCAAAGGAAAGGGGTACATTAACAATATTTTCAAAGATAAACTTTGAAAGGCAACACATTCCGAAATAGTGCATATCGGAATTATCACACTATGTTGTTGTTATCTTAAATAATATTATACAAACGACGTTTGTATAATATAATACGTCATTTTAGGGAGGTCAAACTATAAACATAATTATAGTACTACTATGGCAAAGACATGAAAACACAGCATTAATATACTGATCCGTGAAATACGTGCATCACAACTACGTCCTCTGTGCCCGGGTCAAGTTCATGTTGTACCAGGCATTATTATGTTCCGTTCCGCCCCTCAATACATTTCAGGTAAGTCACATGGTCACACAAAAACATTTCAATATCGAAAAATCTACACTCACATTTCCGAAGCTGCTTCATCCACAGCTGCACGATCTGTTGGTGGCTGCTCTTGTGGTGTACGATCCACAGAGAGAGGGTCTGGATACTGTCCATCGTGTTCTGTAGCCCAGCCAGTTTGCGCTCAAAATATTCCACGTTCAGGGACGCCATCTTGGAAATGCCTCTCCCCTCACCTTCCACAAAAATACACCTCGAAATTCAACAATCGTGGTCGTCTCGCTGTATTCAACCGGTCAAAAATAACGTCTTCGCCCTTAAGACTAAGTATATGTAGACTACATCACTGGAAACGTCTGCGAACGAGAGAAATTCGAGGGTTTTTGGAAGGAACGCCTACTCAAAGAAACAGGGACCTCCATTTTACAGCGATGTTGGTTCTGCGCATGCCTAATCCTTGTGGACTAGTCCATTTAGCCGATAGGGACGGAGGTGAACACGACGATTTTGATTTCTTGCAAAAGTAATGAATTATATTATCACAATGAAGAAATTGTATCAATTTTTCAATATTAGGTAAATAGATACTTATATTCGAACATTCGTTCACAAATCCTTGCAAGAAAAGTAGATTTCAACATATTGTACTGCTGAATCATACAGTGACAAATCGCGTGCTATGTTTCCCACATTTGCTCAATGGCGGCAACAACAGGCGGAAGTGTGGACGTCCAGCTAGAAAGTCGTACGTTCTTCCCTTGTTCAACCCTTTTGTTTGCAACATTACAATTGTAACAAGTTCAACAATTTAGTTTATCAATTTTAATAACTAGATTTGCAAGGGAACTGTGCGAACTAAGGAGATAAAGACGTGCGCTTTGAGTGCTGAATTAGTTGTGTAATGATGACCAAAATAGCTTGACTGATGTTTCAGCCCCCGAGCCGCTGTCAGATGCACAGAGGGCGAAGATTGAGCGCAACAGACAACGTGCTTTACTCTTGAGACAAGCGAGACTCTCCAGCAGACCGTATACCGACCCTTCAGACAGGCCCAGGGGGCAGGGGTAGGTGTGAAATAGTAACTAATCCCCCTCCCCGGCCCCCTTAAAAAGAAGAAGAAGAAGAAGAAAAAAGGAAATCAAAGATTTCAGCTGTCTGGGAAGTATTTGGGTTTTTTGTGAACTTCAAGTTCACCCAATTTCCTCTGTCTGACCTTCCCTAGCCCTGTATTCTGCTTGTCAATCTTTCCCAACCCATGCGCTGTCAAGTACTCCGGATCCGTCCAGACAAACAGACACACAAACCCACAGCTGAGCTACCCAAAACAATACTGATAGTACGAAAACTGTGAGCGTGCAAGAACTACATACAATTTCCATGTACATCAAATTTTTCCTGTAAATTGGCCTACATCAAGAAGGTATCATCTAAACATATGTCAAGAATGTCAAAACAGGCTGATTTACACACAGAAAAAAATGATGTACTCAAATGATAACGCTAGTGTAGTGTGCATACAGAGTTTTCATGCTGTCAGATGTAAATCAGGTCTAAAGCGTGAGTTTCCCCCCACAGTAAGTCGAAGCTGCCGGGGAGAGTGATTGACTCCGGGGCGGGGTTCCTGATTGAGGAGGATGAGGAGGGGGAGGACCCTACAGCTGACATCAAGGTGGTGCACAGACCTGGTCAGTACACGTCTCCTCATCTCTTATTGTTTTAAACTTACAACTACTTACTGAATGATCATTGTTTAAGGGAAAGTTAACACATGTAACGTTACATTCTCTTATGATGGTCAATATTTTTGATGCACAGGTTGCACACATCCTCCATCAGTCTTCTCTGTCATTATCATGTTTCCAAGTGGCTAGAATTTAAATCAGATTTGTTAAAACATAGAGACCAAAATAGAGGACATTGTATAGTTCAACTTAAGAAATTTCTGAAATCTGTTTTTTAGCACGTACCACACTGTTCTGAGTGCTTCCCATACCTGTACTCCCTACTCCCCAGGTCCCATCCTGGAGCCTGACCGTGTGGCCTGTGAGCTGTGCAGCAGTGAAATCAGCGACTCCTTCCTCTATAACAGCTTTGATGTGCCAGTGTGTGATGGGTGCAAGTAAGGGCTGTTTTACATGAAAGACATGGATCAATTTGCTTTGTGAAGTTTGTTCTGAGACTCTGACTCAATGCAGCAGTTGTGTAAACAAGATGTCTGTATCTCATGCGTGAATTCATTTACCTTTGCAGAGATTCATATTTATAATGTCTTCAGACTCAGTACCCAGTGGTTTATCCATGTTTAAAAAAGTTGAAATATTCTTGCTCCAATTGGCAGAGACATGGAGGAGAAGCACAAGTTGATCACCAAGACTGAAGCCAAGCAGCAGTTCCTGCTGAAGGACTGTGACTTTGACCAGAGAGACCCTCCCCTGAGGTGTATCATCAGGAAGAACCCACACAACCAGAGATGGGGCGACATGAAACTCTTCCTGTTATATCAGGTGTGGATATGGATGATGTGTTATACTGTACATGCATTTTAAGAACAAATCTTCCCGTGTTTTACACATGCTTTTAACTCGTATATTCTTGTACAAAAGTTATGTAAATTGCATATTGATCACTGGCACCAGATAATGATGCAGATATACTACAGCTGTGTATGTCACTCACTTAAAATATTTTATTCAGAATATTATTGGTTGTGTGCCCCCCCCCCCCCTACATAATTCCCCTTTAAAAAGGGTTTCAATGCATTCCTTCTACAGGTGAGGAAAAGAGCTCATGAGATCTGGGGTGATGATGAAGGTCTGGAGCAGGAGAAGGAAAGGAGGGAGGAAAACAAGAGACTAAAGAAACAGAAGAAGTTTGACAAGGACATCAAAGGTACAGATGTTGTGATGTCATTCTGTATCATTGTAAAACATTTACAAAAGTCATGATTGTTAGAGTTATTGTTTGCTACTGAGTTTAGTTCTTCTCCTGTGTATATCAAAATACTAAAGCTATTATCTGATCTAGAGTTGCATGAAATGAAGTTGTACTGGTATTTGTTTTTACTTGATTGTTTGTTTGTTTGTTACAACAGAGTTAAGAAAGGCAGTAAGGAGCAGTACTTGGACCAAGGACACGTCCTCTCACCAGCACGAGTTTGGACCAGAGTCGTATGATGAAGAGTCAGACATGTACAGCAAGAAATGTGCCACCTGTGGATTTGTACAGTCTTATGAGAAGATGTAGATAGCAAGGAAAGGGATATTGAATCGTCAAGTAATTAATTCACAACCGCTTGTTTAATAAGACTAAACATTTTGATGACCATCTGTCATCTTCATCAGGGCCAAGTACTTAACTAGGCAAAATATCTATTATCAAATTCAAATATGATACTCAGGTACAGACAATACTTATTGATGATGTAGATTTGACTAACCCTGCACAAATTTTAAAAGAAAATATTTACTTGAATGTGAAAATGTTCAGATTAATTTCTGCATAAAGTGATAATTTGGTAAATTAGCACGAGTATGTACATGTACATGCTTTTTTTTGGCATTCAGTAATTACAAGTTGTTGTTACAAGTTACAACTTAAATCCAGGAAAATATCAGAGGCAGATTCCAGTACAGGCGTTTGGTTACTCCTTGACAAATGCAGCTGCAGTGTCCATGGCCTCCTTAGCCTGGGCAGTGTCAGGATGGTCAGGACCGAGGAAGGACTCGAAGACTGCTGCAGCCTGCTCAAACTGGTACTTGGACCTGGCATAGTGGCTTGTGGCAAAGTAAAATGCCCCCAGGTTGTATCTGATAAAAAGAACGATAATGTTTTTTTATTTGTCACAAACAGTATAGACAGTGTTTTCCTCAAATAAAGGATATGTGATATTACTAACACTTAGGACATGTTAGTCATCATCAGTTACGAGCAGTTAGGAGGAACAAAAGGTATGGCATAAAAGACAACGAAACACAAAAAGTTGCAAAAAATTAATATATCCATATACATGTACATACTATACCTGATAATGGCCACATCCACATGATTGTTTCCGTACGCCTGTAGCATGGTGGTCAGGGCGGTCTCATATATTTCCCCGGCACGCTCGTCGTTCTTGTCGTCGTACACCAGCGCGATGCTGTTCAGCACGCCGGCCGTGCGCGGGTGACTGGCGCCGTGGATCGCGCGCACCTTACTCAGCTCCTGTAGGTAGAAACCCAGTGCCTCGTCCACGCGGCCTTGCTTATAGCAGACTTGTCCGATCTGTAAAAAAAGTGAGGGGGATAAATCAGGGTTCCAAATCCTTTTTCTCAGGTTGTCCACTGGGGAAGCTAAGCCGACCTTGCTCCCGCCCTACTCCCGACTATGGTTGGGGGAGTTTGGCAGTGTTCGGGAGGCCATGTTCGGCTATGTCAGGGGCTTAACTAAGTACAGTTTGTCTCACCTGCCCCACGATGGACGCCACATAGTGATGGTGAGGCCCCAACACGCTGGTCGCCACCTCTTTGGCCCGAAGAAGTAGCTTCTTCGCTTCCTTCTGGTCTTCCTTGAGACTCTTCACAGATCTACAAAACAGAATGAATATCTTTTTCCACTTCACTGAACACCTTTTTTCATTCTGTCATTGTATAACTTCAGACTTGAAAGTAAATGTATCCTACAAAATCACTTTAAGCTGTCTTCCACATTAATTTCTTTGAGCCCGGTCAATGTACGACCATCGTACGATCGCAAACTGAGACGTCGACATCAGTGGAATAGCTATTGTCATGATGAGTCTTGAAATATTCAGCAGTATTGTTGCGAAAAACCTTGACTTAATTATAAAATAGATCCTTGTCGGCGTATTGGTTCTGTCATAGTCATCTTCAAAATTTTACGATATCCAAATCGTACGACGAATTACCTACAACGAATGTGAGCCCGATGTTCAGAGAAAAATATGTCCGTATGAATAGGTATACTAGTACGTTATGAAACTCACGCTAGACCAAGAAGTCCTTTGACTAGATAAAGCTTCTCTTTAGGCGTGTCGAGCCTGGTCTGGCGGTCCAGGGCGTCTGTATAGAACTCTTCAGCAAGTTTTAGCTCCATCTGTCGTTCACACACGTTTCCCAGACTGTGTAGAACCTATTCAAGGTGTATTCATACACTGTGCATTACAACAAGGTGAAGTGCAATCCTGTTGGAAAGACTTGTCTTTTCGAATCAATTGTAAAGTAACTTATCTTCCTGTCTAGTGTGCATGATACCTAAAACATCATTAGGCGATATACGTTTTCGAAAACAGCACTATCGTTAATCGTCTTTGAAAACAATGCCACTTGCCCTGCTGTTTACTTATTCCTTTTTACAGCTCTATATTACACTATATACTCACATCCAGAACAGCAGTGTGCTTGCACTTGTGTCGGAAAGAGAAGTTCCTGGGGTGATACACCACCGTGCCATGTGAGTCCAGATACCGGCGCTCCAGCATTTCCAGCAGTTCCTCGTACAAAGATCTGTAATGAAGCCACGCTCGCGATAAGAATGAAGAAAAAATGCAATGCTAATTGAGGTAAAAAGAATTTTATGTTTTGATACAATGCGTTGTTTTCACACTAAAACTGTAGAGTCAGAAGTCAATGTCTCGTGCGACTTACCTTGCACTTTTCAGCAGCCCTGCTTTGACGAAGAACGCCGCCATGCTGCGAAGAAGCGCGACGCGGTCCTCCTTCTCTTGGCCGGACGATCCCTGGGGTTCTTCAGACAAGGCTTTCAGATAGTCTGCTTCTGCACGTTCGTACCCCCCGACCTGAAGGAAGTATTCTTGCTTTATCATTCAAGTATACAACAAAAGAAAACATGTACATGTACATCCTCGCCGATAAAGAGGAATATGAAGGAAAATTAAAAAGCATCCTCACATGTAAAATACCACGTGATGAGATGAATGTAAGTATTTCAAAGAAACAGACAGCATCCCATTGAAAGTTGTTCGAATGAATAAGCGTGAATGGATTATATGTACAGTGTACCTGTTGCCAGTACTTCATGAGGTTGAAGGTCCCCTCTACAGACTTCATCATCCGCTGGAAGATGCGCAGGTTGGTGATGGTTGTTCGCAGTCGGTCCATCTCCCCAGCCTTGGACAGGAGAAACGGCAGCTCGTCCACCTACATGGACACAAGGAACATTGAGAATCGCTCAATCAATCCATTGGCAATTTAGTCAATAACAGCCTGGTCCCATCCGACGTACGACCGTCGCACGATTGCAACCTGGGAACATTATTGGCATGCAAAGTGTACGACAAATGCAAGTAAACCAGCTGTTGTGGTTCCGAACTTTTAAATGCTGTATTGCTAATTGTCGCAGCGGCTGGTTCTGTCACGGTTTGCTTAGATGTCGCATGACATCAATGTCGCACGACAATCTACGACCATCATGACCGCGCCATAACTATCATTTACCCAGCATGTAGATGGTAATTATGAATAGAAATATCGCAATATCAGTCTTACAACTCTGTCATCAATCTCCCTCGTCGCGAAGTAGTCGGCCAGCTCCAGGTACTTTCGCCTCTTGTCCTCGGCAGACGGCAGGTACCGGGCCTCCACCGCCTGGCGGAGATGGTCATGGAAGAAGTTCAGGATCCCGTTCCGGTTGATCAGGTTGTCGTCCAACGAGAGGTAGAAGGGTGACCAGACAACGGACGGTACCTGTTGGACATAGATCATGTAACTGTCCATTCTATAGTAGCCCTGTTCCTTATCGTTCCAAGGTTCATCAAGAAGGCGGAACGAGACTCAAAATTATGTTAGCTTTGTGTGTCTTTAACTCATGCTCTTGCAATAACATCTATTGTGTAAATGACAGAATATATATATATATATATATATATATATATATATATATATATATATATATATATATATATATATATATATATATATATATATATATATATACAACGTAACTATGGCATCAATGGAAACATTATCGAAAATGTTTCTATGTTACAATGTAGTCGTTAACAAATGCTGCGCTTAAGTCATTGCCACACATAGACGAATAAGAGCTGCCTAACCCCCACCAACTATGGTTGGGAGTAGGACGTCGAGAGCAAGGTCGGCTCGTGTAGTTCGGCTGCGCCATCCGAATGTTTCAAAACGCTTAAACATTAGGGAGTGAAGTTGTTTTGGGGGAATGGTTTGCTGGCGGTTGGGAGTCTAATTTGGCTCAAATTCGATTTGATTTGTATCAAACTGTACTCGCGGCCTCAATCTGATCGGATTTAACCCTGGGCGAGTGGTGGTCGGGGAAGGTTATTTATAAATGTGTAAAAGGGTATGCAATTGTAGTATACATACGTCCAGAAGGGAGACCATTTCTTCCTCTGATAACCCACGATGAGAACACCAGATGGCAGACGTGGAAAGGCGAACAAGGTATTTTCTGTGGAACAGATTACATGACGCTTTGTTACGACACAAGGGCAACATAGAGGGTATATGTTACACTTGAAAGGTAACATTTGCAAAACAAAGACATAATGTTTATCTTCACATCGTGACATAGCCCAACAAACCATGTCATCTCAGAAATCACATGTTCCATTATAACCACTACCTGGTGTTGACTCCTGTCTCAAAGTCATTCTCAAGACGTTCTAAGATCTTGCCGAAGAGGACGCCGGGATTTTCTGCCTCTAGATAATGCTGTATGCGAGTGGTCACCGTCTCAAACTCACCGTACAGACGCATCTGCAAAATCAAATGAATTTTATATCTTATACGTTTTTTTTATGTTTGTGAATTGCATGAAAGCTAATGGAGTTACCCAAGTAACGTTTGTAATCGTAGTATAAATGCAGTCAATTAATTTGATTTGTTGAATACTATTTACAGGAGCATAAAAATCATGCTGACACACTTACCTCATCTAACAAGGCCTTGAGGTACAGCGGGTTGTTGGTCTGCGGCGCTTCGATGATGAGCTGTTTCTGCTCTTCCGACAGAGTTTTGGTGTACATGTCCTCCAGGTACCCCTTGATGATCGCAGACTTCTCCTCAGGTTGCAGTGGTTGCACGCGGAAAGTCTCCCATCCGCTGGCTGAGGCAGCTTCCATCGCCTGATTACCGAGGAAAAGTATATTTCGTCACTATTCCGTCCTATCATACATTTATTTATAAAGATTTATCACAGCTGTAGTAGGATTGGCATAACAGGTGACTACTATCACCATTTCCAGATGTGAACCCTGAAACCAGCTGACTGTATAGGTTGCCGCCTTAGAACCATGATTGTAACATGTGCTCAGCACAGAAAAAAGAGGGCGCTATATACACATCAGTCACAACATTGCCATGAAATTAAAACAAGACGACCACTCACCCTGCCTGGTAGGGTGGAGAGCAGCATGCTGACGCCAGGCGGCATTTCTTTCGGGATCCACAGGAGGTCATGCTCATCACCTGAATGGTTACAAATCATGTGAAAACCGTCTCTATTCTATGTTAGCCTTGAGAAGAAAAAAGGCGTTTTACCAAATAAAGGTTCTTCGCATCCAGTTCAATTCAACCAAAGAGACAGTACTAAGCCAACTACGTAAAATTGGTGACCCTTCTGTCCAGGTGTCACTTGCTACATTGTAACCATGGTGACCATGTTACAATGTAGCAGATGACATCCGAACAGAAGGGCTGGGCTATATCTGCTCTCTCGTGCTGTTGCCTAATGAAACGTCCTCACCTTCTCCGACCATCGCCGTGCCGCTGTCCAGCTGGTTGAGGGCGTCCATGACTATCAGCACCCGGCCCATCATCCCCGCCATCCGTAACCACACAGGCAGCGACCTGACCAGGTTCGTGTCGGATGTCGGCACCGCCATGGTCAGGTTAAAGAAGGCCTTTAGCTCCTCCATCAGCCTAAAACACAATGTGTAGCCTGATTAGCTGTGGTTGGGATGGTTAACGTTTACTTTATGACAGTTGCAAATATCACAAAAGTATCTTTAGTACCTTCTGACTAAGGTGACGTGGTTGGAGCTCTCAGCAGAACTGCCGATGAAGTGGACGAAGACGAACTGGTCAGGATGGGCCTGCTCGTACCGGGACACCCAGTTCGCCACCAGGGCAGACTTACCCGACCCGGACTCGCCGACCAGGACCTGTGGTGGAGAGGAGATAGGACATGTCAGTTTGCTTCATCAGATTCGGGTACTGGAGTTCTCTCTTATCAGCAACTCCCGATGTCCCAATGCAGCGTACATATTTTAATACAATTAGTTTATGCACATGTTCCATAATGTTGATTTTAGTGGTTAAATGCAACTGTCTTTGTAGTGGCATTACACGTAACAACCTCTGCAAGCGGTGTCTGCAATATGTATTTTTCAATTTTTCGTATATATATATATGGTAGTGTCTCATGAAGGAGCAATCATAGGCATTAGCTTCCGCCCTTCAACTTGCTAATGTGCGTACTCCACATAAAGAAATAATTATTTTCAAATATCTAATCAAAGATATAGCTAGTCTTCTTTATTATTTCGATCTTATACAGAATTTCTAAACCATGTTGCTTGTTCTCACCAGAGGAGCTGAGTTGTTTCCGGCCATGAACTGGTCGATCTTGTCGAAGTACTCCTGCCTGCCGATGTACACGCGCCTGCGAGCTTCAGCAAACGCCATGTGGTGCTCCTGTTCCCGCTGCATGGGTGTCAGCTCTGTTCCCGGCGGGAAGTCTTCATCCACACACCGCTGCAGGTCCTGCACAGGGGAGACAACATTGCAATTTGAGTAGCTGCATGATTATACAAAAATAGTAGAAATTTGAGATTTCAAACTTGTGGGAACTGTTTTGGTTTTTTGTGTGCTGCATGCTGCTTTCTAAATGTACTGGGACTACATTTAAATGCTTCATGGGGAACACCCAAATGGATTACTTCATGGAATGGATTATATATATAATCACTCATACAATTTTATGCGATAACTTACCCTTATATTACACGATTGTGTTTTTCATACCATGATTACACAATGCACATCCATGCCGACCTCATACCACATCCTACCACCCTCAAACCCTGTCAATCAACTGAAACCCCATTTTCGCCGAACTCACGTGCCACCCTTGCTGACAGGGATGAGATACAAACTTCCCATAGACTGAGAAGTGAGAACAAACAGCAACAGTAACAAAGTAGTAGCTGTCACCGTATGAATGATGTTTACCTCCATAATAAGGGTGCAGGCGTCCTCCGTCTCCCTGTAGTTCCTGACATTCATCCCTGCCTCTAGTACAGCATTCCGCAGTTTGTACTGGTGCTGATGGTGCCAGTCACTCTCCGACAGGAATACCTAGAAATAGTATACGATTTATGTTAGGAAGCATCTAAGACAGTCGTAACACCTGTAACCAGCCATATGAAATATGCAGGGTACATGCTCGACTATATGCCATGAATGCCATCAGTTTGAGATCCTTCATGTATGACGTAGTCGTATGAAATATGTGACAGGCCCCAAGACGAAGCGATTATCTATCTCACGTGGCCGGCATAGGGCATATGTATCTGATTGAGTAAACTTTGTTACCAAATCTTTACGTGACAAACCTGTACATCGTCAGGGCTGACTGTGCCCGTGTCTGTGACAGGGTCCCGCAGGTAGAAGAAACAGCGTTGGCGACTCTCGCCAGGATTGTTGAGTGCCGCGTGTTGTATCTCCAGCTATGGTTAAAGAACATCGTCGGAATTAGTGAAGACAAATGGTGAAAACCACAAACATCAGCAACATTCCTTATATACCATCAGTACTCAAAGCGGGAAGATAAGGGCACTTTACCCAGATGTGAAATGGGTTCCGGTACCGGTTGGGGAGTAAAAGGCGATGGAATGAAAGAGATGGGCTCCGCCTTCCAATACCGTGCCCTAGAAGAAACAGTGGACTAACAGCCAAATGCCTCAACGACCTAAACAAAGTACGCATCAGCCATTCTTACCTGTGTGACACTTGTATCAAACCGGTGATTTTCAATCCATTTCAGGTCGTCGTTGTGTTTGATGGCGTAGTCAAAACTGGCGTTCAGCAGCTTGTCTGGTTCGTCCTGTTTCTGACTCCAGCCGAACCTCTCTCCCATCATACAGATGAAGTACGGACGACAACGGTCCACCTAAGGTGAATACATGAACATGTAACGGACATCGGCAGGACATATTCGGCTATGTGTGACAGGTACTTGACAGTCTGTCCATCTGTACCGGTCCTCTAAAACTCTTCTTTTATAGATCAGTGTAACGTCAAATGACTGTATCTGTTCCTCACCTCCTTGAGACAGATGGAGATGGTCCGCCCGTCGTCAGACTGCTCCTTAGTGATGCCCCAGCGCAGGTCCACGTACGTGAAGAACACCGAACGTTCGGCGCACAGACGGTTCAGTTCACGGAACGTCTTCTTGATGAGGTATTCTCTCTCATCCTTAAAGTCCCTATTCATTGCATAAACAGAATATACATAGTTTCTTATGGTCGTGTTAAGAGTGTTGAATTGGATTAAATGCGTATATGCCAGGAAATGTCATGGCAATATCACCGTACCAGAATGTGTTTCATGGCTCTTAAAAATTACCTAAGCAAAGAGTCATTATTGCTTGAACTAACTAAAGACAGTAGCGATATAGCGTTTTCTACTTATCTTCAGGGTCATCTGTCGATACTATCTTGTCCTGAAACCATTATGCCGTCGATCTATTGAACGGGCTTAATTCAGTTTCTTACTATAATGCAATTCGGTAACTTACTTGAAGGTGCTGGAAACAAAGACTCTGATCTCTCTCTGCTTCGGCTTTTCCGACCGACGGACCTTTGAAACTGCCTTGTTTTCCCCCTGGTTAGGCTCAGCGCTGCCTATAGATAGAGCATAATCGTATCGATATATGAGACTGCATTTGTAGAAACAATGAAGATATTCAAACTGTAAGATAGTAGGGAGAAGGTCTTATCATTTATCTGCCTACAACACCAAAAAGACAAACACAAGAATTGATAAACAAATAAGGGTTACATGGCATAATCCTTCAGCTGCAAATATTAAGGACATCGTAGAAGCTAATTGTAATGAAAAGAGTAGAAAATTGAAATGTTTGCAAACCTTTCACAAATATATGACACCGCCACACACAAGTTTCTGTTTCTTTAGTTCCGAAGTGCCAGTTTTTTGTTAGTAATAACCATGTACGTTGTGCAATGCACTGTTACCAGTACATGCAAGTACCATGCAACTGCATGCTCCAACACCATCACCATCACCACCTCCACCAATACACAGGTTTATACTTTTACCTTTTGGTTTTCCACCTTGCTCCATTGACATGAGCGGGTCCTCCATTGGTTGAGCTTTGAAATCATTACGTTAAATAATGAGAATTCATACATAATCAACAAGAACATTGGTGACCGACCATCGAGATCGCCAGAGGCATAGCCATGCCCGAACAAAAATTTATTTGCAGCAAATAAAGACAAATTGATATGTGATGGCTACGAAAATTACAAAATTTCAGAGTATTCTCTAATTGTAGATGTGTTAGTTTCCAGATGTAGAGGGCATTTTGAGATATGAATCTTACACCTACATTGTAAAGTCTGTTTTAAAACATGCTGTAGATACGTTCGTTGGAAGTCTGTGCCGACCCCCGTCCGGTGAGTATTTAACCAATTTAGGTAACTTTCATGCTATTTGTTACCTTCGTTGTCGTCCTGTGACCAAAGTTGGGCATTTTCCGTCAGCACCTTCTGCACGACCTTCTCCCTGACAGCCGCCTGCTGGCTCCTCTCCTCTTCCGTCACGTTCTCCGGAATGACATCAGCAAACGCGTCATCTTCCGCCGGGGTCGCTTCTCTTCTCACCCGCACGGTGGCGCTGGACATCCGGGCTCCGTAATGACCTCCCCAGTGCTTGTCATCTTTACCTGTTGAACACGAGTAAAAGGAAATTGACCATAACTATTTATCAATAAACATTGTAGATAGAGTTTTAATTGCATATGACTATGAGTATCGGGAAGCTTTAAATTAACAAAGAAGGGGACCTTTTTTTTTTTTTTCAAATTACAAAGAGGTAGGCACATATTGCATCCCCAAGCTTGGTAGAGTCTGCCTCACCCCCATCCCCAAGGACGACCCACGTACCTGACGATTGAATGCCGACAAGTCTGACTCCCGTCCCGTAGTCGGTAAATGCGACCTTCTCCTCGTGCCACTGTCCTGAGTACAGGTTACCCTTCTCTCCGCTCTTATACCTGGCAAACATCGCAACGTATATGTGTTAGCGTGGATAGTCTACAGCTGAATCATTTTGTATTATCTATCATTGCATGTTTTACATTGCATGCCAACGTATAGTTATCTTCAGGGGCAGGCTTTTGCGATGCGGTCACATTCGTCGTAGGTCGTCGTACGATTTTCAAGCAGGTTGTGACATCACTAACGGCCTACAAGTATGTAAGACAGTCTTTTCCGTAGAACAGAATAGCTAAATTTGGACACATCCATAGCTTTCCAAAGAATGTCCTCAGTTTTGCAATCGTACGACGATGCCACGATGCATGGCATCTGATCTGGCAGTATCTTACTGTGAAATGTGCATATTAACTGTCCAGTCCAGTCGGTGGGGTGGGTCATTGACCTTTCATTACCTTTTGATGACCTCTCCGTCATACGTCATCAGCGTGACCTCTAGCGTGTAGAAGCCTCCTCCACAGACGCCCTGTGTGTACCACTCCGACACCTGCGGGGAATGGCGAATGTTCACTGACTACTTAGAAAACTATTCCTACTATTTCTAAAATCAAACCTGTATCCGTCATACCATGTCAGCGGTAATTCATCCCGATGACAATAGGCATGACTGACAGGCAAAACATCCTCTCATTTAGTGCCTAACTCCTAAGTACTGTTTTTGCTAAATCTCTGTCGTCAGTCATAGCTGTTAATACCTGGATTTCTGGAGACGTGTCCAGATGTTCCTCGGAGAACGTCTTAGTCAGATCCACCTCCTGGTACTTCGTACAGCGCATATGTGACGTCACAAAACCTAAAAAAACGAAAATGTGACAAATACGTCATTTTATCCCTTTTCTCCGACGCCATAGTTACACCTCCGACCTTGTGTCATCTTAATTATTCAATGCCGTCATACCCACTTTCGTCCGCACACAAATACATGTCCATTTGTGCTGCATGTGATACACATAAGATGCTGACATACATTTTTCCGTTCCATGTCCTCCCTCGATGACGTTCCAGTCCCCACCGATGTTCCAGTGAGACATGTTCCCCAGCTGGAAAGGCAGACAAGGTCAATGTCTAAGGTCACAACAAAGATACTTCCATTTTGCAAGTTCAAAAAGAAATCGTTGCATGGAAAATGACAACGATCGAAGTGGAGGTTACGAGGAGTTAATGGGAAAATTGTGGTAAAATTCATTTTTGAATCAATCTTGGAATCCTGCCGTCCCTCTGACGTACCTGTCCGCTGGCGTTGTCCAGGAGATTTGAGGACCAGCCGGCAATCTGCATCTTCTTCTTCTCCAGGCTGTCCGGCAGGGGCGTGGCCTCCAGACCCAGCTGAGAAACATACCGTTTCATTTTATACATGCCGGAGATGGAGAACAGTTGTGGAGGATTGCCATGCCAGGTACGTGACTATCACCTTAGTAGAAGACCGGACTTTAAGGTTTAAACGACTCCTATAGATGCCCCTTCCCTCATCTCAATATGCAAAAGCAACCCAGTGGCAACAGGACTCGTACATTGTACTAGTACATTTGCAATCTCACCTTCACTCTCTCCTGCTGTTCTCTCCTTATGTCATCAGGTGATTGTTCCGGCTCGACGTACGAGGCGTCACAGATGGAGAAGCCGCAGAGGAAGGAGGGGTACGCCGTGAACTCCAGGGTCCCGCCGGACACAGTCACGGGGACGGAGAACGTGTGTGCTGTGTAGCCTGGAGAGGCCTCCGTCTTCTCTGGTTTGAAATTCACTCTTTTCGTCTACAGATGATGGGGAAGATAGCAGTCAGACGACAGGTAATAACACGATTAGTCCTGTTCACAATGCGCTGTATACTAAAACCCGAAGCCATACGCTGGGTGGTAAAAATACAGTTATGCTACACATTAGCCGACGTTAGACACTTCTTCACAATTTCGTAATAGTAACTTCTTCATACGCTCGTCCAAGTAAATGTTGCCAATTTCTTAGTCGATTAATTGAAGCCATAATATGACGTCCGCTGCCCAGCCAAGAAACTACCGTCTGTAACGATACCGTATCGTTACAGACGGTAGTTTCTTGGCTGGGCAGCGGCTGCGAAATAGACCACTGCTTTGACGATACTACCGTAGTAAAAGAATAAACAAACAAACAAACAAACAAACAAACAAGCGCATACATTTCCATTGATGATGATATTGCCTCCTCCTCCCACGTAGTGAAGGGTCAGGGTGTGTTTTCCGTCCGGTAAGTCCGGGACCTACAGGAGTAAACAAATAATGGGTGTTGTTCTTCTGAAGCATCTCATTTGTACATCAGTACATCTGAGCCAAGGGAATTCCCCTCGAAGTAATTAAAACCAAGCAAATAAAAAGCGCCAAATCAAAGCACACTTGTGTTTGTAAAAAAAAATCACTCGTAAGTAGGCATTTCTAAACAGTTCTCCCTTACGTTGTAGGTGACCCTGTTTTCGTCCTCGGTCTGTGCGCTGTGGTTGCGGGCAGTCCCGTAGATGAAACCGTCGTAAGTTCCACACAGCAGCTGAGGCATGGCGCTGGTGTGTTTGACGAGTCCTAGAGTTTTAGACTGCGGGCCTGGAAACGTTTAGGGTGCATGCAAGAGGTTAAATGTTACAATCTGCTTGTGATATCTTCATCAGTTATGATTACTTGATTAGCTGCATTATAAATACATTTATTCCAAAATTAACAAAATATCCTCATCTTGAAAAAAGGAACAAGTAGCTAAATTTTGTGAAAGATCTGATACCATTGAGAGGAAAGATAGGGATATGGTCAGGAATCTAGTACCTTACACATTTCTAAGGAGCTCATTATATTCATTCATTCATTATAGTGATATTCTTACGTGCTTTACAATCACACCAGGACGTGCTCACAATCTAAGGGTAGCCTGCCCGCCGTACTTTGTTTTACGTTTAATTGAGAAAGAAACCCTGGTTCACCTGTGTCGTAGTTGTGGTACAGACGATGTTCGCTCAGGTAGACGATGTTGTTCAGGGCCTGGTAGGACGGGCCGGCGGTGTTCAGGGCGAACAGTACACCCCTGGGCTGGATCACGTGTTGGTACGGAGAGCCCTCCAGCTCGAGTAGACAGTTCTTCATATCTTTCGGATGACAGACGAAACCACAAAACATCATAAACATTCGACAAATCAATATCATATCTCCATTCAAAGTATACCTGCGTTATACGCTATTTTGTTAGATTGATTGTAACGCAAAATTAAAAGCACCACTCTTCAAAGTCAACGTTGGGAAAATAACTTTTGCATAAGATACATTTCTTTTTTACTTCCCTATATTAGTCCTTATTAGTCACAATCTTTGACTTCAATATTTGTAACAAACTATCTCATGGAAAACTCACCAGGATCAGTCCGAATGGCAAACACCCTGACCAGCCGTAGTCCCGGCGTGGTCTCGTCTTGTGCCCACCGCCTGGCGAACGCCATCCTTCCCGCCGCCACAGACACCAGCTCCGGGGCCGCCATCACGGCAACCGTTCTCTCGTTTACCTTGATGACGATATCTGAAGGAGCTGTCACCCAACCGCGGATCCCGTTACTGTCCACTGACACAACTCCACAGACAGGACTGCTGTCATTGGTTGCTAGGCAGCTATCTTGGTGGCAACGACCTTTGGGGTTTTGTTCGTCGTCAGCGAGGTTAGAGAAGAAGGCGTACCGACAGGGAAGAGGGGGACCTTCCACTACAAGTTTCCCGTTGGCTATGGCGAATGTCCATTGATCCGCCGATTCAGGCGCTCCTTTTCCCGAGCTGCCTGCTACAAACGCAGCTTCCACTGACTGGATCCCCTGTGTACTGATGGTCAGGACGTATAAAGAGGCAGTGGTGGCGGTCTCAGTTCCACTGCTACTGGAGCAGAGGACCATAGCCGTCCCACAATCCCGACACTCCGGCAGCAGGACCGTCTGGGAGTCTCCTCGGTAAGCCTGAGTGTGCCGAACCTTCGCCACCCTGTCCTGACCGGTTGGCACGAACGTGTCCCGGTTGTGGAATAGAGCGTACCGGCTGCTCATGGGTCCCGCTGCCTGCAGCACTCCCGAGCCGTCCACCGAGAACTTCCACAGGTCCTCCCCGTGGTCGAACAGCTTCTTCGTCCGGAAGGCGTTGTTGTCAAATCCCGAGCTTATCACGTACACACAGGATACAACCTGGGGACATGGGCAAGCAGTTTATTCTGTAGTACAGAAGACAGATTTTAGCTAATATATGCAGAGTGTGTGTTGTCTCCGTCATGTACAGACCAGATACTTAGATTAATATCTGTCAGGAGACGTCGACACAACAGAAAGACATGAACTTTCTTCAACAAGGCCGGCATATTGATTGATAAAAAAATCCACTAATGATGGTAATATTATCTTGCCACTGGAGAAGACAAAAAAATCTTAATAGTGTGGGACTCAAGTTTCGGCCTCAGATGCCACATCGTACCCCTATGAATGAGGACACTGACAGTACTCTTCGACTGCGAAGGACTAACAAGTCTATTCATATAGTACTTTTGTATAATAACATCGTAACAAGAAATAAACCAGTATTATTTTACCTTGGCAGTATCGACGCCAGGGACCACCCCCCTGCACATGAGAATGGACGTGCCCCCTCCGCTCCCGCCGTTGACGTTGAGGCGGAGTTTGCAGGTCTCTCCCTCCTCCTCCGGCCCGTCCGTCACCACACCCACACCGCCGTGCCCCCAGCGGGAGTCGTTAGACAGCAGACAGGCAAAGTTCGTCCCGAAAAGACAGTCCACCAGGAGTCTGGGATAGACAAAGTTCGAAATATGCAAATATGATATGAGTATTAATTTCCGTTAATAATTTCATCAGGTTGGTGAATGGTATATATAATAGCAAAGTTATTCATTCACAAATGGACACTTGTCTAACAAGAGCCGACGTTTAGATGGCCGTCTGTCATCTTTATCAGCGTTGGATGTACGTTCGTATCAAATTTCGCCTGGAAGACTTCTTACAAATCTAAGCATTCTCAAAGCTAGTTACATGTATTTCCTCTCAGTACCCTTACCTGCCGTCCTCGTCTGTCTTGATGCCGTTTTCTGCTCCAAAATGGCCGCCATGGCTCTTGACCAACGACGTCGCCTCGACATGGTTACAGTCGAAACCGGAACGGAGAAGGAATATCTATAGAAATCGGAAATGATAACAACAGAACATAATATGATGCTACTGTATCAATATTAACTACAATATCAATATTTCTTAGTCTGTTAGTATATTTACGCCTAATAGCCACTGCCTTGGTCTCCTACGGCGTGATCACATACACACACACACACACAGTAGGTATTTGTATCATTTTGATGCAGTAGCATTTTCAAGCAGCCTGCGATAGAACTAGCTACGTATCATTGATCTAAGACAGCCTCTTCCGTAACATGTCTGGATTTTCTCCAGGGCACATAGCTGTGATCGTCTGACGCGTCGACGTATATGACTTGGTCTTGATAATGAACTTTATTACATATTCATAATGCCGTGGTTGTTTTCTTTCATTGTTTAATCCAATCCCAGATTATCCGTACTCGTAGTCTGACAACAGTATTAACGACAAACCTACCTCCGTAGTTGAGTTGTCCTTGTTGTTGTAGCTACATGACAGTAACAGGAGAGACGCACACCCTCCGTACCCGGCGTTCACGTTAAAGTCCAGGCTACAGAAGCACCTGATGGGCCACTTGGCGCTGTTTCTCGACCTGATACAGGCGATGTCGGCTACATGTGACGGCAAAACACCACGTTACATTTAATATACTTTTAGGATTGTATTATGATCATTTTCTACGTGCAAATTCAAGTTCAGTTAATACGTAATTTCCAGCCATAGATCCTAGAGTGCGGTAAATATAATAGATGAATTAACTAAGACCATTATTGTGCATATACGATATTCACTGGGTTAAGTACAGGTCAGAAGCAATGACTATCTTGTATACACATGTAGGTGATTACACCAAGGAGCTATGAAAGCTACACGCATAACACATGTTTATTTTAACAAAGGCTTTAAGCATAACACACTTCCACCTCACCGGTTCAAGTTTAATGTTTACTTTATTTGTATGGTGTGGAAAAAAAACTTACCTGGCCGTTTGATTTCTGTCAGATCCGGAAGGTCAACTCCAGTAGAGAAATCGTTCTGTGACGTCACTGCCGCCTCGGTAGTCTTCACACGAGGGTTCACCTCTGCCGTGGACTTTTGATGGCCGTCTGTGTGGTCTTGTTTATGAGTTTTAGAGGAGAGATTATACGTGCCGTTCATTGGCAGGTTGTTGTCCGCCTTGCCGTTGTTTATCGGCGTTTCTGGTTGTTGCTGGTTTGCCCGTGGTGTGAGGTGTGGTGGTGGGGCGGGGCCATGAGAGGTGCCGCAACCCATGTTCGTCTAGTCACTGCAATGATAAAAATTAACCTTGAAGGTCCTTTTCTTGCCATCAACTTTCTTTTCGGTTATATAATGTCTGAATGGCTCAAGATAGAACCACCAAACTTGATGACTTTTCCAAGATTTTGTCTGTTAACAATTTCATTAAAGTGGTTTTAATGTAATTACGTAATTTATTTGATGACAGATATACTAGTATGTTACAAAATTCTAGTGCATTATCCATATTGAAATTGTGATGGCCATACAATGAGTAGTTTTGGGAGTAACATTGGGCCGGCCTCAATGTGTCTCTATGTGCAGCATTCACTAACATGCCACGGACCTTTGACTGACTTCAATACCGGTAACCCAGGCTCTCACAAAGCGCGTTAGGAACGACAAATACCTAATGAAAGAGTCACCTCACGCACAAAGCAGGGGTGGGGAGTAATGTTTTCTCTCCTGCCTCAAGTGTTGGTTTAATAATCGGAAATCAAATAGAGAGCCTTGTAGTGACTTAATATGTAATGCATGATTACAGCACAAATATTACCCGCCCTAAAGGAGAAATAAATACTCTACTTGAAACGGTATTTGTAGATAATAGAAATCTTACAAAATAATGTACCGATTAATTGTTATGTCACTTTGGGTTCTTTTTCTCACAGCCAGCTGACATGCCTGTCTCTAACATGATTGTATAGTCAACCATGCGTGCAGACACAAAGAAGCACTAATAAGCCAGAGGTCCCCAGGGTAATTACCCGTGAAGACGAGTTCCGTTACTTGGTAACGCGTAAACAATGACAGTAGTTATCCGCACAAACGTCACAATCCGCCATATTGAAAACACTGCCTATAACCAGGAGGTTGATATTCGGGAGCCTATAACCTCCTTGCTATAACCTTTACAGTCCTGTTACCGTAGATACCATTCCAATTTACCATGTTTTAGCACAGGTATACGCTTATACTAGATAATGATTTCTGGACACAATGACTAACAATACTTGGCCTTGAAGAATTCGCTTCAGATTACCGACAGAAACACTGTGTACTCGTACGCGCCTGTTGACATGGTAGGAACTCGCTGTATTAGACTCAAACGTTCATTTCGTCCGTTTTGTTAAGCCATGTTTACTGAAGAACATTTTATGTTGTCTGCCCCAGCCCTAGATTCAACATTGTTTCATTTGTATTTTAAAATTGTACATTACAGATCGCAACGTCGTTCACTGACTCTAGTGCGGTATTGTGTAGGTATTGATACTGCCAACTGGTGGCGATATTAAATCATAAAGTATTGATAAAATCATCTAGAAATGTGGTGAAAGAAAGAGAAAATGACATGTATCAAACCATTTCTTACACGTAGATACCAACCTGTTTAGCTTCCCGACTGTCAGAAACCCGTTGTTTATGCCGACAACACCCCTGTTGTTTTTAGTATAAACCCTCGATGGTTACTCGCTTGCCATATCCACCGGTTTGATTGCGAGCACTTGTCTCGATAATTTATTGTATTGACCTAATTCTATACAAATATTCACCTACCAATCGTTACAGTCCGTATTTCGTGCTTGTCACCGCCTGAGCCCCAGTCCCGACATGTTGTACACATGTATGCAGGTCGGTGAACAATGACCTCGCTGGATTACATGGGCGGGGCAACAACGTTAACACGTCAGACACAAAGCACGCACAGGTAAAACATCTGTACAAGTCCCGGACGGATGTCAGAGGGCAAGGCTTGCACAGCAATAAGCCTCCAAACAGGAGTCAGGGCACGTCTTGTAGACTGATAACGTCCAGTAATTTTTAGATCGTCATTTGAACTTTGAACATTATTTTGTAGAATAATATATTGTATGCTGAGAACTGAGCCAAGTCATAGTATTTTGAAACTGAGTGACAGAAGTAGTACGTCCAGTATTGTTTACTTTTTTTAAAATGGTGCAGTGTTCTGAAGCAATTTACCATTACAACAAGTAAAAAAAACCTGCTCAAAATGATAAACAGGACGATACAAAACGTCAATATCCAAACATCTTCTGGAGGCTGTTGTGCAGGCTATACCACAGTGTTATCACGTGGTAAGAATTAACCCAAATATATAAGCCTTGTAATAATCGTATTACCGGTATACCGCTCGGTTTAGTGAAAATGACAGGATCATCGTTGACACTAGCTACCTTTGGAGAATTTTAACGTGATGGTGCCACATTTTTAAAAAAATAAATCAATATGATGTTCCCTCAGGCCAATTCTGCAGCTACCCAAGTATTGTGCGACATGCTAGTTGGCTTAAAAGTTCTTTGCTTCAACTGGACATTTTTGAGGCAATTTTAATGTCAATGTGTAATCACAGTAACGACCCTGACATTGTACACATGTAGATGAAATTTTATAGGACTGATTCTAGATCTTCGATATTTAATCAATCAAATAAAAATCACGGGTATACAGTGCAAAAGAAACAGGAAACCAAGTGAAGAACACTTCTTTATTGATGCCTAACCCAAGCTAACCAGCACTTTTAATGCACCAGCCGTGGAAAATTACACAGCGATGTCACCTCACATTACGCTAACCAACGATAATGTCATTGGCTATATTAATGTTAAGAACCAAGGTGTCGTCGCCAGGCAATAGCTGGAAGACCTTTGTTGCCATGGTGACGCCATGTGACTTGATGTCGATCTGGTAGTCGCCATGGAAACCGCGGAAGTGGAACTCCTTGCCCTCCGGCGTCAGGGTGCCGGCCGACAGGTGCAGGTTGGTGCGCCACTCGTGGAACACCAGCTGGTGCCAGCGGTGGCCGGCCTCGTTAATCTACAAGTGAGAAAAATTGAACCTTTATGTTTTTTTGTAATGTAATGTTGTACGTTGCATCTCAGTACTGTGTCATGGATGTTGTAGCAAAAACATGTAATATTACAAACTGACGTGACTCTTTAGGACAGAATGAACAATTTTCCCGGTATCTGCCCTGTTTTGCCTCCATTGTTCCCATCGAATGTGCAGTAGGTAAGATAAAAGGTAAAATGTTCCAAGCCATAGCTTCCGAGGCCGTAGGAGCTCTATATCTTAAATAGAAATCCACTATGTCTATAGCACTGTATTGTAAGGCGTAGCTCATCCCTCCCCTTCCATCGCCTCCTCAGCTAAAGTCAGGTACCCATGTTACACATGGATGGACTGAGGAAAGTTAATCAAGCAAAGTGCCTTTCCCAATGACACAGCATCTAGCCAGCACTAGGAATCGAACTTGTGACATCTCGTGTCAGCTACCATCGGCCTCAAAGTACACACTGGTGTTGTTTCATACCTCGAAATTCCCCCCGTCCACAAGCGACGCGTGCGGCTTCCAGTGGGTCTCGTTCCAGAAGCCCCAGAGCATGATGCCCTCCACGGCGGGGTGGCTGAAGGCGACCCTGAGAGCGTCCTCCAGCCCGTCCGCTCGCGCCGACACGTCCCGCTCGTTCACGTCCAGCTCAGTCACCCAGACGGGCAGGCCGGTCGTGCCGACCTTGTCCAGACGATTCTACATACACAATGTACATGTACATGTATATCAGTGATAAGTTCATCAGGTTGGTGAATGATTGAATAATGAATATCAAAGTTCTTCATCTACAAGCACATGTTTAACAAGAGCCGACGTCGACGTTTTTTAGGACCGTCTGTCATCTTCATAAGTCATAATTGTCCTGATGAAGATGACAGACTGTCATCGAAACGTTGTCTCTTGTTTAATTTAATATATATGTTAAATCTTTAATAAAAATTCAGCCATCTAATCTACTTCAGGTACAGCATAGAAGTAATCTCTCTCCACCTTTATCATGACAGGGTCCGGTCGTCTGGGGAAATGGCACTGTACACCAACGCCCTCTACCGGCGCTCCGTTGTCCAGAAACTCCTGGACTTGGTCCACGTACGCCTATAGGGGTAAGAAACAGATTTCTTGGAAAAAGTCACATAGGTCCTCTTTCCTTGCAGGTACAAGAAACCATTTTATAATACATTGCTAGACACCCTACTACAATGCAGATCTAGAAGGGAAAAGGAGAAAGTGGCGCATGGCTCATGTACCATGAACTAACTATATAACACAGTGCTAGAACACCCTATTAGCATTCCACACACCTGAGTGGAAGCCCCGGAGTTGATGATGTTGAAGTCGTTGAGGAACGGCACGACGTTCGGGTCGTTCTGCTTGACCCGGCGGAACATGTCGTACCGGATCTGCCGACTGCCCGTCCTCCGCGCAAAGAAGTCCCCGTGGAGCATCTCGTTGTTGACGTCCCAGTGAGCTACCCTGAACATAGGGCAGTTCAGTTACATCAGAACTGTCTTTTGTTGGCATCGTTTATTCATCATCTATGTGTAATATGTTTGCCAACGTTTGGTAATGTTTAGTTCTCAATGTTTATCAACAGGATAGCAGGTTAACCGATTGTCATTATAATTTTTGTCGTTGGCTTTGGCCTAACGAACAGATGGTTGGAGTTTTGGTCCCGTAGCAGTTTTAAAGCAAACTACGACTTTGCATATTCATAAAGAAAAGAACAGCGGAAATCTTTGTTGCAGACCACGTTGTAAGGACAAAGTTCTTGACTTATTACCCCCCCCCCTCCAGGAGCTTTCTTTCAGAGTACAAGTTGCAAGCATGTGATTTTTACGAAGACCTTGTCACACTATTGCGCTTTTTCATGTCTCAACCAGATGGATGATCCATACCTTCCCGTGTAGCGGCCGACAGCGTTGTCGATTCTGGAGAAACATTTCTGCTCGACGTCGGCGGACGGGTTGTACCTGAGCCAGTCCGGCACGTGCTTGTCCACTGACCAGAACACACAGTGGCCGCGGATGGGGATACTGCATGTGGTGTGAAGTAGATGGTTATTGGACCGCGGCCGGGCACATTTGTCGTACGACCGCCGTATGATCGCAAGCTGAGGGAATTATTTGGATAGCCGTGGATATGCTGTACAAACGTTAGCTGTTTGGTACTTAAAAAGCTGGATTGAACCCTAGTCTGTGGCTAGATCTTTCACAGTTTGCTTAAAGATCTATGGCGTTGAAAAGCTAGTTGTAACAAGCCAATCGTTGTAATATGGCCAACTGCAGGTGTGACACGTGCCTGTCGCGTGTTATGCCGAACGGCGATTATACCGGCTACAAATACATCGTGCCACGCCCCACGACGTGTGTGACCGTGGCGTAAAGGACATAAATGATAAATGTTATCCAATGAATGAAGTTACATCATGACATACATATAGTAAGGTGGTCATGTTGACTTACGTACCCTCGACTTTCCATCAAGTTGATAACAGCGTCCGCCTCGCTCCAGTCAGGATTGCCCTGTGTATAAACAGCAGTATAAGTAGGTTCCGATGTTGACATATTAAGAAAGTACGTCTGTGTGTGTGTGTGTGTGTGTGTGTGTGTGTGTGTGTGTGTGTGTGTGTGTGTGTGTGTGTGTGTGTGTGTGTGTGTGTGTGTGTGTGTGTGTGTGTGTGTGTACATGTACGTCTGTGTGTGTGTGTTTACTGTACACGTATGTGGCTGCGTGTGTGATTGTGAGGTACATTGACAAGAAGAAGTACCGACTGCTCATCAACAATCACCTCGATCTTTTCTACCGGTTTCCACTTCATTTTGTTCCCGATGACGCCCCAGTTGAAGTTGTCGAAGAAGTAGTCCACGTACCCGGGGTTAGAAGGGAACTCCAAGGCGTTTACCTTTGACCCAAAAGGAAAGTTGGCATTCGTCTGGGTGACCTGCAAAATAAAATGTATGCTTGCCAATTTGTTTTGTTTTACAAGATTAAGAAGGGTTTTGGGACTGAATTGATAATATATTATGTTAAACGTGATAATTTGTAATGTATTAAGTATCATTTGCTCTATTATTTTGTGTATTCGTGTTCCCAATTTATGATAAATAACACACAATGATAAACAGGCTGAATGAAAGGCATTACTAATACTAATAGTATTTAAGACAAGGAAGGCACATTTGCAAATTCAACAGAGATATCAAGGTCGGGACTGGAATTTGCATATAACAAGCCTTACCTGGATTTCGAGATGGTCCACATTTGGTGTGTTGACCCTGTATAGGGGAGAAGATAATTTAAGAGTAGCATGATGATAAGATCAAAGACAAAATCAGTTCTTAAATAGACTCATTAAAAAACTAGTGATGTAGTCAAGCTAGGGGCTTGACCAGTCGAAGGGCTGCTAGAAGCGTGATGTAGTCAGGCTAGGATCCGTATCAGTGGGTGAGTTACTAGAAGTGTGATATAGCTAGGCTAGGGTACTGACCAGTGAAATGACAGCATTGCTACAAGAGTGATGTAATGAAGCTAACCTTATCCTGACGTCCCGTTTCCTGAGCTGGTCGATCCGCGCGTCTGCCTCGGCTCTCCAGCTGGTGTAGGGCGTGGCCGACACCTCATGGAGGAACACGTCATCCACCAGCAGGTTCACACCGGCAGGCGGACCCGACACCGTCAGCTTCACTCTGTCTACGGGTTTTGTGTAGCCTGGGTGATATAGGATTAGCGTGTAAGGGGTCCATCCTCTCCGTTAGTGGGTAGGGCATCGTTCCGGTTTGAGTAGCTCATAACTTTCTACACACAAACGGTATGGCTTGGTGATCTCTTCAAAGCATATTGATGTACTGGTATTTTTTCCACACTGTGTTCATATCAACATTGCATATGTATGCATTAACAAGTATGGTATCTTGCACCTTATCGTACTAGTTTTTGTTTCTTTAACGCGTAGATAGAGACTATGAACGTTTTCAAAGGCCTTGGACCTATATAAAGCAGCAAAAACAATACTTACTTGATACACACACGTCTCCCTCCATCTTTTTCCAACCGTCTGCGCCAGAGATGAAGGCCTTAGAAACGATAGAGTGTTCGGAGCTGCCGTCTGTGTTATACATTCAGAGAAATGGTAAGCTTATAACAGTTTTGTTTTTAAGACGAAGAGCTATTTCAGTTATATTAGCATTCACGAGTTTAAATAGTTCTATTACCACAAAAAGGCTTTCCTAAAAGATTCTTATCCAATGGCATGCAAATAAACTTGCTGAACCAAACCTCGGTAACGAGCTACGTTTCCTTACCGTCAAAGTTGAAGGCTAGGGTAGCCTTGGTGTCGTACGTCGTTGTGGTGTCGCTGCCGAGCACCTTTAGGTAGGCTTCAAACAGGTAACACTGCCCACCCCGCACTGACGAGCCCCAGTACAACTCCTGGTACGGACCTGCCCACACGGCCGATCTACAAACAATCGGTAGGGCTTGGTGATATTTCATAACGTATATATACATAGCGTTTATGTCTTAATCTATGACACATAATTCATTTACCACTTGGTGATCTCTTCAAAGCATATTGATGTACTGGTATTTTTTTCTCAATGTAATCCATTCAGACATAGAACTACATAAATAGACATAGTTCAGGATACACTAGTACCCTGTTAGCAAACTGGTCTGTGTACGTGCCTGTGCTGAGCTAACATGGCGGCAGTTCCGGTGTGTTGATCAGCGGTGTAGTGCACGCCTGTACACCCCGAACATTGCCAGCCGTCCAGCGCGGTCTCAAAACTCGGGTTCTCCAGAATCTCACCCTTGTGTATCAGCGACTGAGAACATTAAACATTGGTAGGTATGATGTAAACACCTTACGAACGAAATGGATAAAAAAGGGCAAAAGTGCAAAGAAAGTTCGAACATGGCATTTTCGCACTTCTTGGATCTCAAATGGTTTGTGCAAAAAGTTCTATGACAAAAGAGATTCCCATCTTATAGCTGATACTGACGGCTATAGAAGACTCCGTCAGGGAAGCCCTGTCTGCCAGGAAGTCGATCCAAGCTGGAGGCCCAGACACGTAAACACGCATGGACGTCACCTGTTTACTGTACGCTAAGGGTAAAAGACAATGTCAGTCAAATGAACTGAACATAGATGCGTCAACCTTAGAATTTAAACTGCTGGCATCAATATGTCATCAGATTTCAGGAAAGCGTATTATATATATTTTTTTTGTACGAAGAAGCACCAAAATAATTATCAGACCTTACTTGTGGAACATTCATTACCATGCAAAATTAGATTTTATAATCATTAAGACATATTCGTGGACAAAAAGATTTCATGAACGATGAAACATATGGGATATCCGTTGACTCACCCGGCGCGGTGGCCCGGGCTGTGAGTTTGAACCAGCCGTCATCCTGACTGATGAAGGACGAGGAGCCCATCTTCTGGTAGATCTTCTCTCCGTCTGTTGGTGTAGTTGTACCAGTAGTAAGTTGGGGACATGATCATTAAATTAGTTACATCTTCCTCATAGCAAACGTTCGGCCATCATGACAGTCTATTTTTTCCTAGTCCGGTCAACAGGGTTTGGCAACCAGAAAAGCTCCAAAATTTTGTGCTTTTACGTCGATGTTATACAAGGGAAATCAATTCGTTGTGGATGAAAATTGTCAATTTTCATTATTTATTTTATTCACATTTATTTTCCGAGGATGAGGCAAAAAGTTATAAAACTTATCTTAGCCCTCTCCTCACACATAAAAGGATACAATAAAACAAAGTAATAATAAGAAATGACTAGGGTACATAGTAGGCTGGTGTACAAATCAAAATGAATCAACTAAATCAAACAAAACGTCCTGTCTGCAAAATAAAGTTGAAAACCACATCAAATATGTTACAGTTGTTGACAAACGACAATGAGGGGTTACCCCTGAGAATGGTTGAACATAAAGTGTTGTCGGTGACGTTGTTTGTGTCAAATGGCAGAATGTTAGTCAGAGATGATAACATGTCAATGCGTTCGTCAGTGTACAGTGGGCAGTGTAGGAAGTAGTGTACAGCTGTTTCGTTGAAGTGACCACATTTGCACGCAGGACTGGGCACACATTGATGTTGGAACAGGTGAAAGTTTAACTGACTGCGGTTGAGTCTGAGTCTGGTAAGGTGGATAGCTGGGTTTCTCGGACCGTGGGAGATTTTTCATTATATTTTACTACATTGTTCCAGATGATAAAGAGCTGTCGTCCTGTCATAGTAGAGAAATGTCATTGCATTTCTTTTATAGTTTTTTCAACATTCAAACTTTTCACCGTGTCTTTACACAGCTATGTCTCTCCACAATAATCAGTGCTCTTGAAAAGATAAAGCAGGGAATAACGTAGTACCAGAGAAGGTAATGGCTAACATCGCCTTGATTTCGTGCTGGTTCGAACCGTCCGCCAGGAGCTTGACGTAGATCTGGAAGTCATAGGTCTGACCGGAAATGACGTCAGTACCGTATGCTAGAATGTAGGATGGCCCCGCCCATTCGGCCCGCCTGAATGTAAAATAAACAAGTAAAAAGTCCCTCAGTTTCGCGTAGAGCTAACACTAGAGCTTATGATATGGTCAGCCATCTTGGGTTTTGACCAATGACGTCATGAGATTAGCATAATTTTTTAATATTCAATTATATACATTATATATAATTATATAAGATGTTGCTATTGTAAAGGAAATGTAATTTGATATTAAACCCAGTTTTAATCTTTAAACCAAAATAACTAGATTTTCAAAAAACTGCTTGTCAGAAAGCCGTTGCCATGGCAGCACGAAAATTCAATAAATTATCTAATTGCTATTAAATTGTTCCCAGATATATTTTAGGAAAAGTCACCAAATTGATGGTTCTAGCGCAAGCCGCTCAGGCGCTATCTGACATGAAAGTTGGTGTAGTCCTCAAAAGACCCCCCCCCCCCCCCCGGTCTGAATAGGCCTAGTGTCAATGTATCGTGTATACAATATTGCTTCTAAGGTCTAAACATTCTTTGATGTACACATGTATTTGACTATTTGTACGCAGTAATGGTATCCCCTCCTATAATGTATTGGGTTTATTCATAGGATTATATTACGTGGGGGCGTTGTGAACTCACCTCCCCTGCGCTATCATACTGTAGGTCCCCTCCACCTTGTCGCCGTCATACTGCAGTCCCGTACAGCCGCTACAGGACCAGTTATCCGGGCCCAGCGCAGACTCAAAACCCGCGTTACGGAAGATCTGGGTCTCTGCGCCACACAGCGCTGCACTGAAGAGCACAGCGAAGACTGGACCTACCAACATGCTGTTCGTACGTGATCGCCAAAGTACAAAGGGCTACATAGGTTCTTTCCCTTATTTTATCCTTCGATAAGCTGGTGTGTTTCATCATGCTCGTTTATCTCCATGTTTATCAATAATTGTGTGTGGCATGTGCCATGATGTAAACAAATACATAACGATGTCTTCCTGTCGCCAGACACATCTAAATATTAGATCGGATATTGCTGTTGAAAAGCCCACCGGTAGAATGACAGGTCCAAATGTTCCGTTCGCACGGCATGGCCACAGCAGCAGGAGACAGGCAGTTGTCTTAGCAACCACGGTATATATTTAGACTGAGAACTTAGACACAGTTCAGATGACAGATTTCATCAAACAGCATGTTAAGAAACTGGAACATGTAATGAAATAGACCAATTCCTTATAATATATTGTAGGCAAACAGGCCTAGCAGTTACCTATAACTAAACTTATGACACAAGCAATGGACCATTCAGAAAAACTTAAGTCTTCAGTTCAACTTTTTTCTTTATTGCGTACCGTTTGCCTAGATCTATCAGACATACCACAGACCAAGAGTGCAGGAGTGTGCTGATGTTACATACACTGGTACTCAGTTCATTCACGTCTACCATTCACACATACATCGTAACTGTTTGTGCACCTAACTGGTCTTTTAGAATTAAAATATTTGAATAGTGTATACGTCAGTCAGAAGCATGCTTTCTAAGCTATGTCGTAATGCACCGTAAAATAAACAGGGAATCGGATATTTCAGACTTCCATATTGAGTTTTTTGACGTGCAAGTTCACAGAGCTCCGGAAAGTGCTTTGGGTTTTGGTAAAGGCATGGTAACTCAAGTGGGGGATGTTGATGTATTACACAGCATACACTTACTTCCACCTCCATGGCGCGTCACCTTAAGGCGTGACCTCGAGCTCCCTATCAATCAACTGTCAAAATTAACTCCCACCCACGATCCCGCGGGGGCTATTAGGACAGACAGAGCCATCCAATACAATATTTCCGTTCCCTGTAATTAAGATCTATACTTTTTATACCACACCAAATATTGAAGCTATTCAAGGACTTGCTATGAAATCATATTGACGTGTCGTAGCGTTCTCACATGACATGGCCCACATTCTCTGTGTTGGCACTGGCACTGTGGCACCGTCTGGACTTTCAGGGCCTCACAGAGCAGACAGCCTAGGGGACAAATCAAGAGAAAAAGGTAAAGGTTAGTAGTTAAGTCTGAAGTACCAATAAACTGAAACAAACACGTACAAAGTTGCTTCAAGGGTGCATATGCTGGTTTCTGTGGTGACAACTTGAAAATATTGCAATCATCTGTTTTTGCTTGGTTGGTTGCGATAAACAAATCACCTGGAAAAATTACGCACAAAAAAGAACTGTAAACTGAAAAGGCAATTGTAAATTGCATACTAATGTGTACCAGTATGTATTTACGATAGAATTGCTAATATTGCTTGTCTCTACCGGCAGCCGGTTCGACCAATGACAGAGTGACTCCAGGTTGATGACATTTGATGCGTTTTTGTTTTCACATTTACGTTTCGACAGGGATGGGTTATGGATTGATCTATTGTACATTGATATAAAACACCTTGAAACTGTGTCTTTACCTCACTTCCTCCCCATCCAGCAGCTTCCTGTAAGCCGCAATTTCCAAGTCAAGCGCCATTTTGACGTTCATGAGCTCCTGGTAGTTGATGAGGTGCTGGGAGATCTCCTGCTTCAGAGTCTCGATCTGAGCCTCGCGTGACCGGATGTTTTGCCTGTATCCTTCAACCTCAGTCAGCAGGCGGCCCTGTGTAACTCCCAGGGATTCTTCCAGAGCAGCGTTCTGTTAGAAAAACAAGTTGAGATACCGTTCATGTGTCTCTAAATGTGTACTTTTAAGGACAAGTTATGGGTTGCGTTATGGCTGTACATGTATGATATCGGCGTATATATATGTGTTAAAGTCGTTGAATCGATTATTACGTTTTGTTGTTGTCATTGGCTTCCCTAATTTAAATGAAAGCCACGAATCGAATTCACTCCCTGAAAGCAAGCTCTTACGCATCTGTACACTCTTACCTTGCTCCTCCAAGACTCGGCCTCGGCCCTTTGAGCGTGGATTTGCTTGTGGAATCCAGCAATTTCTGCCCTGGCGGCTGCCAGAGCCTCGCTGGCTGCCTCCCGCTGCTGGGCAATCTCCGCAAACTAGAAAGACAAATTGTCACATACATGCGGTAGCAAACACAAAGGTATATGTAATTTCTTCTATTGTTTGAGCCATGTATGTACTACATGGAAATAAAAACTGGTAATAAATGGTGAATGTAGTCTTTGGAGTGTAGTATGTAGCAATAATCCATTTCTAAACGCATAAATACATCATTAGACCATTAAATATACAAGCATCATTACAATTGTCCTGCAACATTGCACAAAAGATTGCTAGTTTCGCAGTGAGGATTGGCCATTCTGCAGGTACATGAAATCACAACTTGCATTTCTACATGTATCTCGAAGCGTTGTTGAAAGCTATCAATTAAGGATTATTTTTTGCAGTTATGTTCATTCCTAGAAAAAGGCTTATTTCTAACATTCTGGGCATGTCTTATTTTTTCTCACCCTCTCCCTGTACTTGGCCTCAGCATCCTGCCTGTTCGCCTGGCTCATGGCCTCGTACTGTTCACGGATCTCCCTCAGGGTGTCGCTCAGGTCTGGGCCCGTCACCACGTACTGCAGAGACTCCACCCTAGTCACAGTTGCAGCCAACTCTTCCCGTAGGCCAGCTACTTGCTGTAAGATGTGCCAATAGTCAACTATTATATTGCACATTGATGATACAAGTCAAACTTTACTGTAAACGCATGCCCGAAGGATAGTTGAAGGGTAAAACACAGAAATCCGAGTGTAAAATGTAAAAAAAACGCCATCGGTGTATAGTTGTGTAACATGATATAGAAATAATTTGAGGTACAGACAGACCGTGGACAGAAATGCTCACCTCGGCGTGGCTCTGCCTCAAGGCGTTGATCTCTTCCTGAGCGGCCGCCGCTCTGCTCTCAAAGCCAACTCGAGCTGCAGTTATGGCTTGCAGTTCCTGAAACATTATTCTTTGTTCTAAACACTCTTTCTCACTTTTATCCAAAAGAACATGATGATGAGACACGTACGGACCTTCGCCATTTTACACTGAGGTTCAAACAGACAGAACAACGAAGCCTATTACCTAGAATAAGATAACGTTGATTTAAACAGACGTATACTTACCATCCTGTTCCTCTCGATCTCAGCCTGCAGCCCAGGGCGCACAGACATCTCATACTCGGCCCTGTATCAAAACCAGGACCATAAACCCCCAGTCAATTCCCAGCAACTTTTTACTGCTAGTTTAACCAAAAACTATTCTGAAATAACGCCATTCTACATAAAGAACAAATAACCACATTGCAGAATGCACTAGAAGGTTTTTGGCTAATCTTCAAGCAGATCCAGTGGGGGCAAGCTTTGTCCAATTTCAGTTGACCCCCGTAGAATTTGCCACAGAACGGAGGGCTTATACCCATTTAAATCTGACATGATGTTTTTATGGCCACCGTTACCAAATTTGTAACGATAGACCCAGCTAGCCTGGTGCGTTCTGTGTTGCCCTGGGAACCAGACTTGTGAGAAAACGGGCGAAGAGGCCCCGCGTGCGCTTGCGAGTAAGCTCACCGCCCGCTGCCTCAAGAGTTTGGTCCCCATGGTAGTTCGGTGGCAGATCCCACCATAGATAAACTCGATAGCAACTGGGAATTTCGATAGTGTCTTGCCCCTACCTAATCTGCTTGGAGATTAGTTGTTAGCAAAAATGTTGTGTACTAAAACAATGAAGTTAAAAGAAAATGGTTAAATGGTTATTTAAAAGCAAAGGCATAACGTACTTCCCCTGCCACTCCTCGGCCTGTGCCTGCCAGCTGTTCCTCTCGACCTCCACCTGGGCCTTGTCATTCGACAGGCTGTCCACCTGAGCCCGCAGTGCCGCCAGCATCCCCTGGTACGTCCCGTGTTCGCAGGGGACGGCTCTGGCCTGGGCGGCCTGGATCTGGGCCTCCAGCGAGGCATTGCTCTCCTGCAGGGCGTGCACCCTTTCGGTGTAGGCGGCGAAGCGGCCGTTGAGGACGGAGAGCTCATTCATCTCTGCGACGAGATTTGCCATGTTTTCCTGTTGTGTCGTACAGGCTTGGAAGAGAACTGGCTGCCAGAATCTGGACTGTCTTACCACGGACTGGTAGGCTGTGGATATCAGGGTTCGAGCCTTCCAGATTTATTCTCATCAGAGTAATCACTCCCTGTCCATCATTTGGTCAGAAAGGCATATCATTGGCCAGCCGTTGTGTACAGGGTCATGTAAGTGTTGAGGAGGCACAACGCATTCCGGAGCCTAGTTATGTAGGGCAATCAAATACCAAACGTGAATCACTGCAACGGCTTTGCATTTATGAACTTATGAGGTAGAGAAACATTTTTCACGTCTACGAAAGAATTTAGAATAACTGTCTGTGACCTCTCAGTAACCCTCTACCCCTGCCCTGAGGCTCTGAGAACTTTAAAAGGTTATATCTTAATTTGTGACCAGATATCTAGTTCTCTATCCTCTATCGCATGCCTAGGGGCACCCGAAGACCTTGACATCACAAGTCATGCTGGGGTTCAAGAGACATCCATTGTAGGGTCGTGTGGCGTAAGGAGTGTTTGCTGTCTGTCACGTCACGAGTTGAAATACTCCCATGCCACTTAACTTGTCCCCTTGGGAAAAGCACTTTACTAAAGATGACAATTCCTCACTTTACTGAGTTGAAAATGAGTATGGCTCCTGTTGTATGTTCATGCGTTTGTCTGCGTTGGTGGCAGCTTAAGAATGAGTTGAAGAAAACTTGAGTATGCCGTCGCCCTGTCTTGCAATTAATGTTGAAGTAGGAAAAAACATTCATTGCTGTAAGGGGCGTATTCTCCACAATACAGTGGTAAGAGTTGTACGAGCTATACAAGTATATTGTACGTCGCAAATAGCCCGTTCCAATAAAGTTGTGTTTCATCATTTTATGCTTCATTTTCCAATCTTTTAATATCATTTTATATCATTTGAAGACGAAGGTTATCAAAGATACAGTGACATGCATATTTTAAGTTCCTGATATTTGGGGTACGCTCTTTGAAGTGCCAACCTCATAGTATGTAGGGTAGGTAAATGTTTGATGTCTACAGTAGATGCAGTCTTTGCACTGCTGAATTTGCCATAATGCCTAGGAATGTTAAGAATTACATTTACGTAATGTTTCAAAAATAGGTGTATAAAATCCGGAATTGCCTGTGTTGCTACATCGCAGTGTCCTAGCTTCAATTTTGCTGACTCGGGACCACAACTTCAGAAATTGAAATATACCATTGAAGTTGTAAATCACCACATGGCCACTCAGCCCCCACCCAGAAAAATTTACAGAATGTACCTATCTGATGTTTAATACTTATTACCCACAACGTGAAACCAGCATTGCATCAAATGATAATCAAATATCTGAGTACTGTGACTTTAATGTTCGTTATGCACAGACAATGATACTGTTGTTTTGCAACTTTATTTTATTTCATATTTTATTTAGGGGTTCAGGCTTGTAGCCCATAGTTGCACACATATACAGTTTGTAGAAATGTTTTAGAAATACTCAAACAAAACAAAACAAAACGAACCTATCAAATACGTTAGGGTAGATTTCACCCCTAGAAGCTGTCATAAGGTTCTAAATTGGTGAATATTCACGGGTCATGTCCACCATTCTAAATGTCCACAGAGTACATAACTCATATTGACTATGTTGTAATAGAGCAGAGGTTACATTCTTTTGTATTCTGTCAGCCTGCTCCTTCCATTGATCCCTAGGCCCTCTTCAGTACAATGTGCAATTTTACATTGCCCGTATCTTCGGAAAGCTTGGTATAACCAGCGTGCGCAGGTACCGAGTCAAGCCGACCGCCTACATAATATTGATGTTATCGCATTGCTAGCTCTGATCGCCCGCGTCTCTGCCTCCAAAGATTCGGATTTTTTTTTTGTCTTCAACACTTTCTAATCTTCTAGAAGAGATCTTATGGAGCTGCTGATCACTTCGTTCACTTTCGGTTTAAGTCATTGTGCTTTGACTCGATTCGTCTCATCTGCAGCTTCTGGTAAGGAATAGGTTTTGGCACAGTGATGTATTTTATTGCAATCTCCTGTCTGGCGTATTTTCCGCAGCTGTTCCATATAATTCGATATTTTAATGTCATCTACGTAAGAATTCCACCATCCACATCCGAAACAACCGGTTTATATGTACGCGCACACACGAAACAACACGAACCAATGCCTTACATGGGCATGTCGTCACCAAAACGGACCCTAGAAAATTCCGTGCAGGATTTACCGGGGGATTCGTACCACTGGCATGCAAATAAACTGTCACTGAATTATGTAAGAGACAGAATATTCGAATAAGCTCTGAAACAAATAGGGTCAAAGCACTTCTGAAGCTACCCCAGCTTCAGGTTTATTTTCCCGCAAATATTAGATTGCCCTACATACATGAGGGGCGCAGACGTTGACACATAACTTTCTATATGAGGCCATTGGTTATAACGACAGGTTGTGAACCTGTGACGTCCTGACACGTTGAGGTCTGATATGTCCTCGGTAAATACTGATGGACCTAATAAACTATCTGGACCAATTTCGTTCACCAATAGCGAGCTTCGTGTGCTTAGCAGATTGGCAGGAGGTGACCATGTCATAAGGTTAAAAGCCACAGAACAGAGAGCACGGGTACTGAGCGAGTCTCGCTGAGAAGCCAGTATCAAACTGAAGACAGGGTCGAAGCTCTAAAGGTACGCCATGGCCACCAAGGGATCACGAGCTGGAGTCGGCGGCGGCAAGGCCGTTGCAAAATACGCCACGGAAGGAGCGCTGCAGTCTCTCACCGACGCCAGGACGGCCCGCACCAGCGAGAAGAGCCAGCTCATCATTCTCAACGATCGCTTCGCCGGCTACATCGAGAAGGTGCGCTCCCTGCAGGAACGGAACACCAGGCTGACGACCCAGCTCAGGATCGTGTCGGCGCGGGAAGAGTCGGCCATCTGCGAGCTGTACGAGGCGGAGCTGAGGGAGCTGCGGGCTCTGGTGGACCAGCTGACTCGGGAGAAGGCTCAGCTGGATGCCGAGAACGCCAGCTGGCAGGGGAAGTCGGCGGAGTGGCAGGCTAGGTAACATCCTTTATACCAGAGGCTAAGCGATCAAAGATTTGAAAGATCTTTCCATCAACCAATTTGATAGACAAGGAAATGTGTGGGTCTTGTCTTTGATTCATACTGTCGTGACACACTGTGCACCAAATAGACATATATGACTCAACCGTTTTTTCTCGTTTTGATCCCTGGACAGGTGTGAGGCCGAGACTGCCGCCACCACCGCTGTGAGGACAGAACTGGCATCGGTCAAGAAGGTGAGTCTTCTCTTTTCAGTATATCCTCATTACACAATGTGGACATATTAAAATGTTTGCGATTTGGTATTATTGAGTACTCGTTGTGTTATGTATGTTTCGTAGGAGGTGGACGCGGCAACTGTGGAGCGTGTTGGCTGGGAAAACAAGCTGACCACGATACAGGAGGAGATTGAGTTCTCCAAGAGGGTCTGGGAGGAGGTGAGCCTGTCGAAATCGGAAGAGAACTCTGATTGAACGGAATATCGGTATAGACTGTAGATGCCGCGTTGGTACCACATCAAGGGCCAGTCTGTATTCGTAGATTTGCTACTCAGTCTCCCGTGGCTGTATAATCTGATTTTTGACAGGCAGATTCTGTTACAATTTTGTAACGTCTGAAAAACGAAACGACGAAAAAAATATTGAAGATCGTTTTCTTCTAAATCAGCAGATGAGGCTGTTTGCAGGCATGTTTGTTCCTTAAACATGAACTTTGTTTCCCTTCCAGGAGACACGTAAGGTCCAGTCTCAGTTGACTCAGACTATGGCCATTGCGGACACTGAAGCTCCGGTCATCTCCGGACCGGACCTGAGCGAGACTCTGCGTGAGATCCGCGTGCAGTACGAGATCATGGGCCGCGCCAACAGGGAGGAGGCCGAGAACAAGTACAAGGGCAAGGTTAGAATGGGTTCATCGTTTTGATGTGCTGTAGACCTGTGCTGCGTTTTTGTGATTTAAATGTATGCCAAAACCTAAGGCCTTATGACTGCTGACGTACGAAATGGAAATCACAAAGTTTAAGTCACAGGCAAGAAAACAAAGAGATAAAAGACGTTAATATTGATGTTGTTTCATTTCTCCAGTTCAGCGCGATGTCCCAGCAGCGGGAGTCGGATAACCAGGCTCTGGCAGCCGCCCGGTCCGAGCTGGCCGGCCTGAAGAGGACGCTGCAGTCCATCATCACCGAGACCGAGGCCTTGAAGAGCAAGGTTAGATATGAATTAAGGTTGAACTGTAGTTTTCAACACGTATATAAACATACACAGGTACATACACGCAAATCGTTTGTGTTTCTTTTATTTGTAAAAGCGAGGAAAATTTGAATTCGTGTTAATGTTAGCTAAATGTACATTGCATCCATCAACTTTGTACAACTTTTGCTGCAACCTGTATTCCGCCCAGTGAAGTAAAATTGTGTAATAAAGATTGTCATTGTTCTACCATAGTCCGGGTCCCTGGAGGCTAACATCGCGGAAACAGAGGCCCGCACACAGAGGGAGATTACGGAGTTCAAGGCCGCTATCAGCGAGCTTCAGGCTCAGATCGACAGGATGAAGTCGGAGATGACTCAGCACTCCGTGGAGTACCAGGAGCTCATGAGCATCAAGATGGCGCTGGACGTGGAGATCGCGACCTACAGGAAGCTGCTGGACGGGGAGGAGATCACTGACAGGTGGGGCTGTTTCCATGGTTACTTCCGGGTACGGAAGTATTGTTTTGGGTGACTGAGTCATTATCTTACCAAGCAAAAATGCTTCGCTTGCCTTACGGGTCGGAGGTGATGTTAACAGTTGATTGATAAGGTGACCAAGTACATATCTTCAAAAGGTTGTTATATGTTCAAGTTTCTTACCATGCTCTTTTGTGAACTGTATTTCATTGACAGGGTCTTCACTGAGGTCCGGGCCTGAAGAGAGACGTAAGTTCAGCAGGCGTGAGGTCACGATGGAAATCAAGTGTTCCAAATACATGTAGAGATGACGAGGAATCTCTTTGGATCCACCG